TATGTTTTAAGACACAAAACAGTAAAAAATTCGTAATTTTCGGACACAAAATTGGAAAAATTGAAATAAAAAAATCCTAATTTTTGGACCAAAGTATATAAAAAAGTATTTTAAGTCAAAAGTGTTACAAAAGAACAAAAACTTTAAGACTTTAAGAGAAAAAAGTATTTAAAAAAAAAAAAATAAGTCCAGTGATTTAATAAATAATAATATAACAAATAATAAGAAATACTTCTGGATTTTAAAACACAAAATTGTAAAAGAATAAAAACTAAAAATAAAAAAAAATAAAGATTTTGGACAATAGTGTTAGAAAAGTGCATTTTGAGGCACAACAGTGTTTAAAAAAAAACAAACAAAAAGCACTTAAAGAGACTAAAGTACAAAAACAAAAAACAACCAGTGATGTCATCTGTTCACTGAGTTGGTCGAGTCACTCTGAGGAACCTTCAGCTGTGATGTCAGTCCACCTACATTTACACTCAACACCTGCACACCAACTGGACTCACCTGGATGAAACCCGACACCTGTCCAGAGACGACCCGACGTGGTTTCTGTACCTTGGTCCTGAAGTCACTCTTGTGTCGGCTGCAGTTGTTCAGAGTGAACGGAGTGTTGTGAGCCGGTTTCTCCAGCAGGGGGACGGACACCTCTCTGAGGACGTCTCCGCTGAAGTCTCCCATCTGATACCTGCACAGAGAAGACACACCTGGTCACACCTGGTCACACCTGGCCACAGTCTACTAACCAGAGGCCGGAGGTGACGGAGCGTCTCAGGTTTCATCAAACAGGTGTTGAGGTGGTTCGAGCTCTACGGGACAGAATCAGGACTTTCTCTGCATTTAGACAAAGTCTGCAGTGATTTTAAGACACAAATGTGGAGAAAAAAACCTGATTTTAAAAACATATATATATATAAAAAAAAAAGACTTTAAAACACAAACTAAACATCAGAATTTTAAGACAAATGTGTAAACAAATAATAATAATTAGATTTTAAGACTCAAGAATCTTTTAAAAAGTTTTAAAAAGTGTACAACAGCTGGAATCTAAGACATAAAAGTATTTTAGAATTTAATTTCAACACAGAACTACTCAAGAAAAAGCTTCTTAAGACCCAAAACTGTAAATAAATCAGATTATAAAACAAAAAAATCAGATTTTTAAGACACAATCATGTAATTAACAACATTTAAGACATAAAAGTGTGAAAATAAAATAAAATAATTAAGAAGCCTGTTAGTTAAAGTAACTCCTCTGCGGCTACAATTTCTCACCTGTCCTCCCCCCCCCCCCTCCTCACCTCACCCGTCCTCCCTCCCCCCTCCTCACCTCACCCGTCCTCCCTCCCCCCTCCTCACCTCACCTGTCCTCCCTCCCCCCTCCTCACCTCACCCGTCCTCCCTCCCCCCTCCTCACCTCCTCTCCACCACCTCCAGCGTGAGGTGCAGCAGCTCCCTCTTGGACTTCTCTCTCCTCTTGATCATCTCCAGGATGGTGACGGTCCGGCTGAACTCCCTCCTCAGCCGCAGCATCTTCTCGTAGGACGCCTCGTCGTTCTTCCGGTTCTGAGACGAATCAGAGACACCGGAGACGTTTAGAGAGACGACGCACAGACCAAACAAGGACACGACAGACAGGAAGTAAATCTGAGCCGGACCTTCCTCGTCTGCATCTTCTCGGTCCGCCGCCTGAAGGCCACGTAGGCGTCGCTGTTGGTCGACCCGTCCCGCTTCTCCTGCTTGACGTGAGGAACGAGGGACGGGCCGCGGCAGTGCTTCCTCTTCCTCACCCAGTAATCGTACACCGACTTCAGCAGGTAGTCGTCCTCGTTCAGCAGCAGCTTCGCCTCCGACAGCGACACCAGCTGAAAGCCAACCACAGGGAGACCGTCATAAGACCAATGTGTGCTGTTCTATCAGGGGTTGGACCACTGAAGACCAGATGGATGCATCAATGAACCTGCAACCTTTCAGGACTCCAGTTACATCATTACTCAAGTTATTGAGTTTTAACAATGGAAATATTCAATAAACCATTTGTGAGATGGAAATTGTACGAGATCCCACTTTCAGATGTTCGCATCTCATGAAGTCTACGTCCTAGAGTCTTGGTGTTTGCTTCTGGTTTGTAGCTCATAAAGTCATGGTCCCGTTGCTGCTAAACTCCCACAATGCTCTCTGCTGCCACCATGAGCTGTAGTCTGAGTGACGCCTCCTCTGGTCTCTACAGGACTAAACAGTGAGAGGCTCCACCTGGTGGAACAACCAGGTACTACAGCTGGTCTACAAGACACTCTCTGTCTTCGATTAATCCCGAACACCTAGCGTGACGTATCATCATACGAGCCAATCAGGGTTCAGCGTTACCTGGTGAGTGCTGGCCTTCTCCAGCCGGTCCACCATGGTCTCAAACTGCAGAGGCCTGAGCTCCATCTTCCTGTTCAGTCTGTTCAGCAGCGTCTCGTCCTCAGAGTCCATGTCGTAGTCCGGTTGCTCCAGATCCAGGCCGAGAGCTGCAGGAGCCACATACAGCACATACATGTTCATACGGCACATACATGTTCATACGGCACATACATGGTGAGTACAGCCCTGTGCAATATCACATAAATGTCAAATGACTGCAGACTGTATCAATACTGAGTTATTTCTGAACAGTCGAGCTTCTTCGTCTGATGAACGATCAGAAATAAACCCTTCAGTTTCATGATATAGAAAATTCAGACCCCAAAGTAGAAACTCAAAGCAACCAAAGTGAATCCACCTGTGGTTCCTAATGGGTCTAACTTCATGAACGTGGTTCATGTCGTCAACAGCAGAACCTTCTCAGTTTGGAGCTGTAGGGCTGCTGTCTATCTATGTCTGCATCATGGCTCCACA